TGTACGTCCTTTATTAACAACTTTTCAAAATAAATCTGAAGAAAAAAAGTCTTTGGTGACACTATCTATAAAAACAACCTATCTTAGATGGTAAACCTAGGATGTTATACAGGTTAATGAAGTAAACCAAATTATATGGCTTTTTAATTTCTCATTCTCTCTTTTTCTCTCACTCACACACTTGCTTTAGGTTTAATTGCACCATGTCGTCAATAGTCAAACAAAGAGGGAGAAACACTTTAAAAAAGATGTGTCAGCACTATGAAAACATTGGTAATGCATTAGAAAATTTTTCTCAAAAATGTACATTTTATACAAAATAAGATTGTATTTTTTGTTTGCTTTTTTGCTTTACATTTGCCCACCTAAGAATTCCCATTTCAGGTTTCCATTCTCATCATCCAAACACTATACATATTTTCTCTCAAAATAAATATACAGGATTATGTACAAGGTTGCAAGGCCCATTGGATCATCACTAATCCACTGTGAAATAGTCACTAAAAACATCACGAAAGGGTGGGAGGGAGCATCCAAAAGCATCCGATGAGTCCCCCTAATTTAACTCCAACTTAAAAAACGTGTGTGAAGACGGTTAAAATAGTGGTATAAAGGCCAGCTTGACTTAGTTTTAAACAAGGGTGAGATGTACAAAATTTCAGAGGATGCGGTTTTGTTTCCAGCAGACACCAGCTAAGACCCTGCGCGGGGCAGGCCCCCTCTGGGAAGACCCCAGGCCCATCCCCGTGGAATCCCTCCGAAGCCCAGGGAAACGGCTCCGCCAGGCTGACGCCCTCCAAGGCCACATCTCTGCGACAGTCGGCAGAGCCAGCCTGGAAAAGAAGAGCAGACCGCCAATCCACCCCGTGCCGTAAGAGGATGTTTCACTGGAGGAATTAATAAAATTGTTGTCAGTCAGTACAGATGTTATGACAAACACTGCGTAGACTTTTAGTTTCGATACGGCGGGAGAGAGAAAGAGGAGGACACTGCATTTCACACTGGGAATGTAAAGATTTTTAAAAAATCCAAGCCTACTTCTAGCTGTTTCTTTCATTGCTTCAGTGTCAAATGATTACTTCCATTCTCCAAATGACATCTTTTGGTAAATGAGCTATTTTAAAAGGCGCTCATTGGTGAAAGATTAATTTCTTTGTCAAAGTTGGCTCTAAAAAAGAAATTGCAATCTGAAATTGATCAAATCCATGACGTTTTCCGATGGAAAAGATCAAAGCGCTCGATAGCCATGCATTAGCACACCAGTGTGTTCACTATGAAATTGTTACAAAGCTCAAACATTCACATCTAGAAAAAGTTATGGTAATAATTAGAGTTTTTCACAAAATAGAAAGAGGCCCAAGGGACTGCAAGGAGAGCCAGGCACTTTCTATCTTGGAAGTTTGCCCCTATTTGTGTGTCGCGTTTTTCTCATTATGAAACCCTCCTCCAGCAATAGATCTCATTCAAATTATAACTGGGAAGGGTTTCTTTCTCTTTTTTTTTTTTCTTTAATAAATTCAATTAAAAATTCATCAGTTCTCCCAAACTCTAATCCCTACTTTTATTCTGTTTTAATGGCATGGATCTATTCACATTCATCCATCCATCTCACCCCTGATTAAATTAAGGTCAGTAACCTTTACAAAAGGCCACATGCGTAACACTCAGTCAAGTCATCAGGCATTCAAGTACCTGTAAAGTAAAGGCTAACATAGCCTGCTGTTAAAGGAAAATAATTAAAAAAAAAAAACAAACAAAACTACAAAAGGAGCAACAAGGAGTGAACCTTGTTTCAGCACCATCTGAATTAAGGGGGGGGGGAGGGAGAAAAAAAGAATAAAGAGCCATTAACTCGCACATAGGACGTGATAAAAGGATGATTTCATTCACTAAGGAAACAACACAGCTCTATCCAAGAGATACACACGGGAGGCTCGGAAGCACGCCTACTGTCCTTAGGAGCGTTGGCCGATAACGTCCGCATTGAGCGTAACACACCAAGTCTCTAAGCCGGATCTGCATCCAGCTCTTCCCCTGGGTCCCCGGGCCGTGGACACGGAGACCAACGGCCGCTCTCCAGACTGGCTGCGAGGCACATTCTTTCCTAGAGAGACGGCTATGCCCGGGTAACGTGCTGCAAAGAGAAACTCTCCTACCTATCCGCATCCCTTCTGGAGCTAAGCCTTTCATTGTTACTTGTTTAATTAGCGATCTGTAAACAGAAAGGGCCTCGAATCACATTGAGAGCGAGCTTCAGCACAGTCTCTTTCAGCCACCCCAAAAAGTGATGGTAACGGAATGTCAAACAGCTTAAAAGCTCGGCCTGACTCGTTGCACTCCAAAAATGGTTAGCTACTCCCTTTTTTACTAAAAACCCAACCCACGTGCCCCAAAATGGCATTAACTAAAACCCAAGCAGAATTCTAATTCTTGTTTTTTGTAGGTTCCCTTCTTCCCCTCTCCCTCTCCCTGGCCCCTCTTGCTGGCTACAGACCATGAGCTGCTTCCAGGTGCAGATGCTCCTGGACACATCCACACCCCCGCCTGCAAACGGGGACATGAGCAACGCGTGAGCCCTGCTAACCTCATCCACTGTTTGACACATTCTCCAAAAACGGAGTCTAAGGAGAAGGCCTACTCCAGTCCCTGAAAAAGCTGCCTGACCTTCAAGAGGAAAAAGTGGCATAGGAGTTGCTGAGCTATTCACCCTGGAAAATCAAACCACTGGACTTCACCCTCCCCTACTGATCAGCAAGTGCAGACATGAGAGCACAGAGAAGTGCGGTTCAGGTTTTTATGGGGTGTGGGGGGCTGAATTAGCACTGAATTAGCCCTACAAAGACAGGAGCATAACCTGCTCCCCTTCCCTCCCCAGCCCTGCCTACCTACTCTTGCCTCTTTACTTCTCCACATGCTGATTTAACTCTCTAAAATGGCATTTAAAAAATCCAGTAAATCACTGGACAGTTCTCCGTGATTTTAGTGAGTTAAGTGGGCTCACAGAAGCATCTGGTGGGCACCAGCATGGCAGAAGGTGTGAGGCAAGACTTCATGGCCAGGGGCTGGGAGAGCAAAAGGAGGAGGGGGAAAGTGGCACCTCTACCTTACAGCAGCGTAAGTCACTAGCTGCAGTCTCACACATGTTTTGGCAGATTCCTTTAAAGATTTGGTTCAGATTTAACACAAAATGTCAGGAACCTGATGTTCCTGCCCTAACTTGCTGTGCTCTGTTCAAATATTGCAATACATACGAAAGCAAAGCATTCTTTGCAAGTCTTTGCATGTCAGGTTGCGTACAAACATTTAGCAATATGTACTTTGCACTTTTAAAGCAACTTTGCGTTTAGGGATCCTGACCTTACCAGCAAAGGAAATTATTTAGGCTTCACAGCACTCCCTCTACAACCAGTAACTATTACTTTTACAAATGAGGAAGCTGAGGCATGCCTTGGTTATGGGAGTTGCTTAAAGCTGCATAATAAACTGGTGCCTGAGCCCGAATGAAACTGGTGACAATTCTGGTCCACCCTTCCTAGCACTCCAGCTACACTGGACCGCCTGTTTACAAAGGAATGAGGTATAGAGAGGCTTGCTGGTCTTCTGGGCATCGGCACTAAACCCTCTTGCTGTGACTTTAACAGAGCTCTTGGGGGTGGCGATTGCTACAGAGCGCCCCAAATGCACCTCATCAAAATGTCAGAGTACAAAACGTTTTTAAAGTGCTTATTTTCTTAGCAAATTGGAATGGCATCTTCCTGACCCAAATCACTGCTTTTGTTTTCATTCTTCAATTGAAAGAAACATATAAATAATCAAAGCACTACAGAGAAATAAATAGCTGGAATATTTCCATTTAAAAATACTTCCATTTGAAATGATAAAACCGTTTTGGAGCGTGAGCAACGCTGGTGTTTCAGGGGCAGGTATTTTGTCCAAGTTACCCTGCCCCAAGAACGCCTGGGAGCACCCGCTGCCACCAGTACCCAGTGTCTGACCACACACTTTATTTCAGGTGTCAGACCTCCAGGAGGGAATTTCTCCACCTATTTGCACTTAAAAAAAAAAACCAAAGAGAAAGAAAAAAAAATATGAAAAGCCCATGCTTTGATTTCATATAAACCAATTTGTTACAGGCCAAATTCCTGCATTGCGAGCACTAACATGCTTTCTTTTTCCACCAACACCCCTTTTGCCCTCAGAACAAAGCTATTTCTAGAAATTTAGCTGCCATGGCCAAGCGGCACCAGTGCCCCTGGGCAGCAGGGACTCACACAGGCTGTGTGTGTCCCATGCGGCCGCCACACTGGCCATGCTGCCCGCCCCTGCGGTGATCGCCCACGGGCAGGGCCGTTCGGGATGTGCCTCTCCTACCAGAACACACAACCGGCACCGCACCTCTGCTGTGCACGAAGCCCTCCCTGTGCTCCAGGTCACCGGTTTGCTCCTTGGCAGTAGCGTTCCTCTCCCCCTTCAAGGCAAGGCTTTAAAAATGCCTTTAAAAATGGGGTCCCCAACCAGGAGGATCTATGCTCTCGTCTGGCTCGTTGGGGGCTCTCCAGTTTTCCATCCATCCAAAGGGGTTTTGCCATAGTGGCCGCTACCGGCTTGGGGAAAACTGAGGAAAAAAATTTAAAGTCAGCAGTAAATGAGAAACATTAATACTTCGGTTCTGTCCTGCTTGTGCTCAGTTTGTTTCTGAACCTGCTGCATTTTCTCCCTGTGAGATTCAAGCATTTAACTTTGCAGGGGAAAATGAATGAAAATTGCAATGACAATCAAATGCATGAAAGAAAGAAATGGCAGCTTTGAAATATTCACAACCAACACAATTTTGATTAAAGAAAGAACTCTGTTTTTAATAGGTTTTTTTTTTTGATCATTAAAAAAGTTTAAACCTGCATAGCAATCATTTCAAAAATAATTCTTTGATGTTCCATAATGAAACTGTACACGACCTAGTCTTGAGGGACAGAAGCCTGCCGGGCGGTTCGACGCAGTCCGTCCCTCAGCAGCGCCCCTCAGAGTCGTTCAATGTCTCGGTACTTCTTCCTCAGGATGGAGACCTGGTCTTTAAAGAGGACCGGGTCGAGCCTCATCTGAGAGTGGATCAGCGGCATATAGCCAAACCAGCTGGCGAAAGTGTTCATGCAGCTCTGCCGCTGGGCGAAGTGGTCGGGGTCGGCCCAGCGCGAGGCCCGGGACGTCTGTGTGGAGAGGAGAGCAGAAATCAGACATCGGCCGCGACACAACAAAATGGCGGGAAAGGGCTGACGCCATGCTGCAGAGCAGTGTCGGGGCTTGAGAGCGCCTGCCTCTGCGGTAGCTGACATCTGCTCGGCGAGGGGTTTCAAACCAGGGGAAGGCCACCCTGCCTGCAGCGGGAGCCGGCGATGGGAAGCTGGCTGCCCCCGACTTTCAAAACAGCGCTGTGTGGTGACCCGAGTTCGACCATGAGCCAGCCTGACCCGGAGCACGACACCCGCAAGCGTGCCTCCCAAAGCCTGCCAGCACGCTACTTCACCCCATGCCTCACTCTTTTTTTAAACCCTCAAGCTATTTCACAGATAGAACAAGCCCTTAAAAACCACCAGAAAAGACAAGCAGGCCACTGCTTTCCACTGGAGGTGCACATCCTACAGTCAGCAGCTGCCCACAGCCTTCAGCCGTACAAGGAAAACACACTGCAATTATTATGGTTTCTCAGGTCAAAAACACACTTTTGCAGTCCAGATCTGCAGAAATTTATACACAAGTAATTTCAACCAACTTGTAACTGAGTTCAGCAGAAGTCCTTAAGTGCTTGGCATTACTCATGTGGGTAGACATCCTGCAGAGAAAAGCAGGGTGCTTCCAGGAATCCCACCGGCTGAGGCCAGTGCATATGACAGTACCATCTTACGGACAGAGAAAATTAACTGAAGACATTACATCACGTTAAACTCTGACCTGAGGAAAAGACCACGATCTTTGCATGCATACATGCAAAATACTGCGGCCTGATTTTCCAAAGTTTAGGGCAGCTGTAATTCCTATGGAAGTCCATGAAGCTCAGTACCTCTGGAAAAATAACGCCCTAACAGCTCTGAAGCAGCTATTATTCTCTATCTGTACCTAAACTACATGTATAAACATAATAAAACTATTATTTAAGATAAACTACGAATGTTGAGAACCTAAGTTTTGTTTTGTGCCACTTCTCATGCATCTCTGAACAACACTTATGTTTCCACTATACTTTAAAAACAAATATAAATTCATAAACTCAAAGTGTGTTAATTAAAATGCAAAGAAACTGATAAAGTCAGGGACTTGCCAAATGCGTGGGATATCAGACTTGATCTTTGTCCAAGGGCTGTCCAGTTCAGCTCAAGTGGTAGGTTATAATGTGCATTGATTACAGACTCTTGATTATACCGAACCACTAAAGAGCAAGCAAAAGCTTGTTGCTAGAGGATTGTAGCAGACATTCTGGCCATTAACAGTGAATTTCCATATGACTATTAATCTCTGTCACAACACTGAGGTTATGTTAATTTTTTATTTGTCTTTCAAGGAATTACGAACATGGTCCATTACATTTCCCAGAGCTGCAGGAACAACTTGTCTTTAGGAGAGAGTTATAGTTCATGGCTGACTCAAGTCACCCGTGCTATAAAAAGAAAAATGAATGTTCAGACTTTGCCAAACAGCCAAAGCATGGCCCTGTGGAGAGGTGAAGCTCAAACTGGAAGCAATGGGTACTTTCTGGATGGCACCTTCTTGTTCATAGAAGGTCTCCTGGGTGCTCAGATGAGTCAGAGTTGCTGAATGCTACCTCTACCTCAGATGAAAGTGCAGTGGCATACAGATAACGGAGTCTACAAACTGGCATGGCCACTCCCCAGTCAAAGATCCAAGTAATGCTAATAGGAGAAAATGTGAGGGGAAAATGGAGGGGCCCTTCTTTCCCCTGCCCCCTAGTAATCACAGTCCTGTTTGTAGTGAGGATCACAGACACCATGGCAGCACAGATGGGAGGTTGTTTAGGACCTGCAGGTCTTGCAGGATTTGCTATTTCTCCCATCGCTTGCTCACACAGGGCAGCAGGAAAGTGCCTCCAGGTTACCATGTATTGCTGTTACTAGAAGGTATATCCATTTCTGCAATGACAGAGTGGTTATCCAGTAGCTGGAAGAGGATCTAAACCAAGCATTTCACGGCTGCTAGTGAGTGATGGCATCACTGTGGGACAAAATGTTCCTTGTGGGAAAAAATGCTTGAACATCACGAATTACCTCTGTTGTGACAGTCCGATGTCAGTGCTTGAATCACACTATATACTTTAAAATAGCACAGGGATGGCCTGGTACATTATATTTATTAATAATAATTCAAAATGTAAAACCTTTCTAGAATTTACTTCTGCTTCTAGCATTCCATGCCTAGGTCTTAGGTCTAGAATATTTACTTAGAAAACTGGTGTTTAACTGAAATTCGGTCACCACAATCATCAGTTCCATGAGTTTGGGATCACTGTGAGTAACACTGTGTGAGAAAACTATGAAGAGAAGCTGTCATCCACAGTAGATGTTTGCCATTTCTCCTTTTCCTTCATTATAATAAGCATATCTAAAGTCTATTTACAGTTCTGCTAAACTAAAAACTGCAAAAAGATTGACAGAATTGTATCACTCTGTAAGCCTACCCTAGAAGTCAAACCATTATATTATCAATACATCCCAACTGATAAAACATGCTGTGGATACATACCTGTCCCATCATGGTCTCCTTATACTGTTTTTTCTGTGTTACTTTGATTGGAGGCAATTTTGTCACAGCTGACACCAAAAAATTCATTAGAATGTCCTCACAATTGGCCAGTTGGTCCACCATGTTCTTTAGGCTGGCAGGCAGGTAATGAGTGTACAGGTAGTGATAATATCTGGAAACCAAGAGCAGCGTTATTAATACAAGTTACTGGGCTTTCAGGGATTACAAACTCCAGGAAATTTCTCTCTCAGTTGACACACAAGTTTTGTACTAAACTCTGGATATACCACTTCCTTTCCTTGGTCTCATCCTCCAACAAGAAGGGAGAACAGTATCTCATCAAGACAGTAAATATTGCTAATGGAGAAACAAAACATATGCCTTTTTTGTAAGTGTGTTCAAAGAAATAATGCAGACCTAAGTATCAAGATAATGGAGAAGTAGTAAAGAGAGCACCACATTGCTATAATGTGATAGACAACCCTGATGAATTCATCTTCCACCTCTTCTTTCAAAACTGTTCAGCTGGGGAGAACTCTATTAAACTGGCCTACTACCGTCCTTATTGTCGAAAGTACTCTCCTTTGGACCTATATCAGCCCCTATGGCCTGTCTTCTCCTTTGAGGGGATGTGGATTAGATACTCCAGAATTTGCTGACCTTCTCCAAAAATCTAGAGAGGTCTTTGGTCTGCTGAAGTTGGGAGTTTTCTCCAACAGGCTGCAATATGCTGATCCATGACGTGTCCACGGTACTACATTTCTAGAGTAGCCAGAAGACTTTGCAGTCTGCAGCTGTCAGCCAACACATACCCAGAGCTGGTCTGGAAGTAACCTCCTTTTTGCTATGCTACAGGCCATTCAGCCGAGCAGCTTAATGAATTCGGGAACTCTTTGAAGTGTGTAATTCCTGATGTTAAAAAGAGCAGTCCGACTGCCTCAAAATACAAGTGACTTCAAAGAGACCCAACAAGCGCAATAATGATTACCAGATCCCCAGAGCTAAACCAAGAACTTAAATTATTACCCCATAAAAAGTAGAGCCATTTATTATCTTTCCATTTTTTCCCCTCCCCGGAAGAATGTTCTTCACCCCCCACCCCCCTTTACTATTTTGTTTCATACAGAAGGAGGACAGCAGATGCTTTGGGTTCTTACTTGTGGTAAATAGCAGCTCCTGTCAATACCATGGAATAGTCATTAGTCCATTTGGAGGTATACCCCCATCTCTCCTTAGTGTTGTCCCAGAAGTGACTGCGAGCAGGGTACCCTACAATCCTCTCCGGAAAACTCTGCCAAACTGTAAAGGCAAAATCCACCTGCAGACAAAGGCACAGGCCAAATGAATACCGAAATTGTTTCAACAAATGTCAACAAAACAAAATATTACCTTGCCACTAATTCATAATTCAAAATCTTGGAACTGTTGCAAAACATTAATTCTATGTATTCATCAGTAAATTAAACTGACTGCTTGACATTTTGCCCTATAATTATGCACATTTTAATGGTTCCTGTTAAAGGGAGCCTAGAGTATCACAGCATTACATTAACATTTTCAGGCTTGCCCTTTACATATCAAACCTTTTCAAGTTACAGAAAGAATGGGTGTAGGTGCATGTATTTATACTTAGATGCAATATGGAGTAGTAAAGCTATGTGGTAAACTGAACCTTTTACACATCTTCGTGCATCTCACCTACCACTTCAGTACTGTCAACACAAAGCTTGGAAACTCAGGAGTCAAACACCTTTAATTATAAGGGTGGCTCGGTGAGATTAAAACAGGCAATCAATGCAGAGTCCTTTTATGTTTTCCATCTATTTTGAGCCTTTGAGGTACATGCAAGTCATACTTTTAAGACTGCCTATATGACCAAAAGGGTTAAACATACAGCTTAATAAAGAGGAAGATAAGATTCCCATGTAGTTAAATGGCTTTAGGAGCCTATACTAAGAAAAATGCTTGATAGTGCATGAGCCACAAGAAGATGTCAAATGTTGCCATTAGTGATTTTTTTATTTTATTGTCTTGCTGTAACTATTTTAATAACTCACTCTGAGAACTGAAAAGGTGACAGGACATTGCTACCCCAGGATCCCACCAAGCAAATCCTGGCGACGCTAGGAAAGGGATTACTGGGGTAGTTTGCAGAAGGCTTGTCAGCACTAGATTTGAAAAGAGTTTGGTAAAAATACATATGGAAAGATTTTTATCACTGTAGAGTTGCTTGGAAGTCCCTCCACTTCAACTTAGATTTTGGAGCTCAAGCTAGACTGAAATTTTAAAAGCAGTTAAAGACAATTCTAATTGTCCCAGTCAAACCCAAAAAACGAGCGCTTTGTTTCTGCACTGCACACCAAGTTCCTTCCAGTACCAGAGCGACCTAAAACTTTGCTCAAAAATGCTTGAAAACCCTTCCAAGAACGCAGCCAAAGTCAAGGGTGTAAAGGTTAGATAAAGAATAGCTGCTCTGAGAACAGTCACATTTTGTGTGATTACTGTCAGACTTCTCTCATTTATAAGTGTTTTTCTGAAACAGAAGAGTCGCACATGTACTGGAACACAAAGTTAGGGACTGGTTATTTTCTTTCAAGTTGTTTCAAGGCATCTGAGGCCAACTAGAAAGACAATGTGCACAAACCAGTTACCGTTTTGATAGTTCTGATCTCATCCAAATCAATACCACATGAAAGAACTAAAGGGTTTTTTTTCCCTGTAAAGGCCTTTCCCATAAAATGTGACATCTGTTTTCTTTAGAGAAGTCTGAGAATCTCAAACTTAAATAAATAATAAAGGAGCTGCACTCAGTGCCCTCACTTGTGCTTTCAAGTATCTGTCCTTGTACCAGGGAGATGCACTAAAGCAACGACCCTAAGAGAAAGCTCCCTTCATTAAAAAAAAAAACAGTCCTCATCCTATACAATTTCCAGCAGCAAGCCCCCCAGGCTGCCAGTCTCTTAAACCCCCCTATCACTTCTGACCCGTGCTGATTTCTAATGACGTCCTGCGCAAACATCCCTCTGTGCATGTGAAATAGCTCCTCGCACAAGAGCAATTATGCGCTGTTCTGCTGTGAACGGAAAACCTTTACTACACTAGAGGTGGACAGAGCGGAGGACGTGCCTGGTGACTACTCCTCTCAACAGGAACGTGATCGTGTTTGACCATGTTTCTAAATTGCCTTCTCTGGGCCCTGAAGCTTTGTCACAACAACCACCCATGAGGAGGCAGTTTCAAGGGAAGTTTCATGCCACACGTTTCATGTCATTGTTTTAACATGCTGTTTCTTTGCATAAGCCATATGATGGGAAGTGAAGCCATAGAAAGGCCCCAGTTCTTCACAGGGAGCCACCAAAGAGAGCTGCTGACCCTGGCAGCCCAGCAGAGACATGCCGAAGCTGCGAGGTGGGTGCTGGCAAGAGCTGGCCAGCTGGTTCTCTCTACAGCTCAGGGGCCATGGGGCTCATAGAGCCAATACCCACCATGCAAACATGCAATATCGGCTGCAAGCTGCTCACAGGAGGGAAGAAGCCACAAAGAAATGTGTATGTCGTCTCACACGACAACAAGTATTTGCATTTCAGAATGTTTAGGGTAAAACACGGCCAAGCTGAATGAGAAACACTATTTATTTCATATGCGTTCCAGAAGCCTGAATGACTCCAAAGTCTGGATGATGAGTAAATACCAGTCAAAACAAAACAAAGCCCCAAATCCTCATGGAATCCACAGGCTGGATTGCTGTAAATACCACCTCAGTGCAATGAATTCCCTGAGAGGTCTTACCACGGCCCCCAGGGCAGCTGAAACAGGACCCTTCATCCTGAGCAACAACCTCTTTAGGAACTCCAGCCCTAGGATAAATGCCTTTTATTGGTTTTGGGTTGGGTTTTTTTGGATGTGCAGGGTTTTGCACACAAGTGCTTTGGCAGCAGCCGTATTCTTCCTCATGTAGCAGGAACTACCAAGGTGCAATCTTGGTATCAAATAGGTTCAACACCAACTACTTTTTCCGTCTGTGCAGCAGAAGAGGGCTACCGTGGCTCCTTCTGGAGCAGTCTAACCACAGCACAAAAAATCCGAACTGCAGAAAAAAGCAGTTGCAGTCTCTTCCATTTCGAACAAATTCAGTGACGTCTTAGCGTATACAGCAGTGACTGGTGACTAATGTTAAGCATTTCTTCACTGACATATAAGCAGTGGTAGCATCAGTGAAAGATCCCCTTCACTGACAAAAAAGCATTTTTATAAAGGCAAAGTGGGAAGAAGGGAATGGCCATGAACATGACAGAAAAAAAAGGGAAAACAAAAGAAAATTGAGTGTTTCAAGCTATTCCCTGGCCATCATTAATAATGTATTTCCCAAATATTGCACTCTATATAAACTGTCATCAGTTTCCCCTGTGGTTCTCAGGAAGAGGTTCCAGAAATCAATACTCATCCCAGTTGTAAAAATTGGTTTTCTACAGTATTTTTCTTTTCTTAGCGCTATCTTGCTCTTGGCACAAACACTCCAACACCTAAACTAGCAAAGATCTCTAATTTTATGGGGCGACACAATGATGAGAGAGCATTCCTCAGTGAAATCCTGCATTAGGGTGGCAACGCTGTCTTTTGGAGCGACAGCAGTTCCTTGCTGCTGACATCCCTTCCTTCCCCACCTACACCCTACTGATAACGTGGGGGGGGAAAAGCTACCCCAATCAGAAAAGTGAGAACAGGGTATTAAAGCTGACTGCTCTTGGCTGCCTACACCCGCCTGCAGCTATGTTACTAAAATAATAAAGAACGGAAGAACCATATGCTAATGATGAGCCAATTAACCAGGGCGAAAAGCTCCTTGATGGCAGGCAGTGGCAGGGTTGCTGAAACAAGTGCAACACGTTAAATCTGAGGAGCGTAGCAGGAAATCTTGTAACATTTGCTCACTGGCAAAGCCAAGAGAAGAGCCTGTCTGCTGTGTTCAGGCTGAGCTGAGGAGCCAGCAGACTCCCAAGGCGACAGAGACCCTTACCTCAGTGGTTGAAAGCACGGTGTCCTCATCCAGGCTTAGCACTGCATCTGTCACGATGTTGTCATAGGGTAGGAAGCGACTGCTCATAACCTGTGGGTATCCAAGGCAGGAAGGGGAGATAAAAAATCACTTGAAGGACTCATTCCCAAGGGAGATACTCCATTTTATTCCTCACTCTTATTTCCTCTTGTCTGAGGCACATCGCATATCTCTCTCTGATGGAAAGGACCCTTCAGCTCAAGAGTAAAAGACTGTCATTTTCGTCACCCCAGCAGTCAGCCTACACCTTCTACCTGAGGAGTAATTTCTATACAGACCTCCCTCTCTGGAGCAGGCTGCTTTCCTTTTGTGACAAACTGCAATGGTCCGTAATGAGAATTAGATGTACCTACTGCTTCTTGAGGGAGGACATTTTCCCCGGTAGCTAGGACTGTCCCTCCGCTCTCCTACGGTGTGCGAGGATCGAAGTTAATGAACGCTAAGAAGGACTTTGCAGCATTCATAAAGTTACGCAGCTGGGAAGCCAAGTGGTGCAGGCTGTGTGGGAAGGACGTTATGCTGCCAGGATGGTTCCCCTGTAAAGTGGTACAGCTCCATCTCTGTGCATTGCTGTTGTATCCACAGGGAGCTGCTGCCAAATGGTGCAACATTCTCCATCAGAAAAGGAGAATATGCTAAAGAACATGTGCATTGGTTGAGCTTCACCTGCATCAAGAATTATATTGGTATTGTAGCATTTTAAAAAGTCACATTCTTAAGTGACATATCTATATATATAAAATCTATATGCAGAATAAGCTTTTAAAAACTACGGCAGGACAGTTCTCAAAGTAATAGGAAATAGATGGGAAAGTGGGATCAAAAAGATAACAGCAAGAAATGAGAATCCATATGGTTTCTTTAGCAGACTAATTAGCACCTTTTGAGAACTGATAAATAGTAACAAGGACACAACACTATTTGTTTCCCTCATTTGCTAGGAAAAATAGCCTGGCTAGTTAATAGACTTCTTTTCCAATTTATTATGCCAAGAAAACACTACAAAAATCAGTCCCGGTAAGAGGAAATCACTGTATGGCAACAGAGACATGGAGAAGTTTTACATATTCCTCATAATGGACATGGTCAGTTCTGCATCCCCTGCAGCCTCTTGGGAAGCAAGTCCCTAAATCTATGCCTCACTTCAGACAAAGCTCTGTCTCCGTAATCAGGGTGTTCCTGGTGTCTGTCTGGAGAGCACCGCGCTAGGATGGCCTCGGTCCAGGGAGGCGGTGGCTCTGAGGAAGAGGTGATCTGGCAGGGGTTGAGGGTTTTGGTTTGTTTACGCAAAGGCAAAGCAGAGCAAGCAGCCGGCAGGAGACCAGTGTTCTCACCCCAGCTCTTTCACAGACCTTGTAAAATTGTCAAATGGTAACAGCTGGGACTACCCATGTATTTGTTTTTGTAGTTAATGCTGCCTTTTGTAAAATGGGTGTGATAATACATCTTGATTTCACGGGGAAAAGTGAAGGTTAGGTAAAGGCAGACCTCTGTGATCACCTGCACAGAGCGACTGTGCCTGCCAGTTAAGTCTGAAGATGAAAAGCAGCTCCTTTGTGCAACCTTTGAATTGCACTGCTCTGGCTCTGCAAGCTTTGTCCAAACAAACAGCTTTTCCCTGCAAGAAGCCATTTGGCATACGTTGGGATATTAGGGGGAAGAGACTGTCCACTATAAACACACCTTTGTGTACTCAGGAGACTCATTTGTAATCTAAACAGTGCCTGGGGCCAATTTCTACAAACACTGTAGAACCGGTCAGAGATTTTCTCCTCTGCCTCACCTCTGCAAGTTTTCCAAAATGAAAGAAAAAACCCCCACAACGTTCAAAAGGCTCCGAAATCACTACAGCTTTTCTCGTCCCCGCAGCAACTCTCCTGATACAGTTTACATGGCTAGCTAAGGCAAGAGCCATTAGCTGCCAACCTTGCAGGGCTCGCGCTTTCCCCTTGTTAAGGTGACTGGGGGAAAAGACCAAAGACAGGACTATAAATCCAAAATAGGATTGTGCAGCCAAAGCAACTGAAAGTTCCCTTTGCAAACGCAGAGCTCAAGAGCCAGCTGACAGAGATCGCAGAGGGGACCAGCCCAAATCTGTCTCAGTCTGAGTCTGGAAGCAAGAAGCCCTGCTTCTCTCAGGCCTGCATTTGGAAAGGAATCATCCACTTCAGCGTGGATGAAAAAAGCCTCTTTTCTCATCTGAGTGGTGTCTGTTTCGACTTTGTGCAAGTGCAAAGGAACAAGAGTGTTGCACAGCAAGAGATGACACGGTGGTTTTGTTCCCACGCTAGTGTCCCCTGTCCCTTCCTTTTTTACGGTGGTGGGGCCCCATCACTGGCAGCAGTATCCTACAAGGCCATGAGAAAAGGTACTTTTCAAAGGCAGGTTAACACCATTCGTTCTTATCTCTTCCTCTGCTTTTGAGTCCACAGCTGACCCTCAAATCTTGCACCTGACTGCTCAGGCTCAATGAATCCAGCTGCATCGCTACTTTCATGCATCTTCAGAGAGACAGAAATCTCCAAAGATGGGGTCAGCGCTACCAACTCTCGGGGCCACATTTCAGAACTGGGTCCCACCTGTGAATCTCAGATTCATGGCATTAATTGCCATGCTGATGATTTCTGAGAGCACGGGGCTCATGCAGGAAACACAAATCTGTGACCAAGCTAGTACAAAAGGCCAAGGAATAGAAAGGAGCTGTCACACCGTTGGGAACTACAAAGCTTTCACCAAAGCAGCCGGAAAAATAAATTCTGGTCCCACTGGAGAATATACACAATCTTTCACCATGCTTCTCTCCACCTACCTTGCTCTCTCCTTCAATGACTATGACAGGCACAGAAGTGGCAGGCCAGCGGTGTTTGGCTGGGAGGGGTTTATCACAATTCCATAAAACAATAATCTGAAAGAGAATATTGGACCGTGATCAGAGACCTTTGTGGCAATGGAGTCCAAACCCTAAGGACTCAGATCTCCAGACAGAAATGTTAAATTCAAGTTAGGAATTTCAAAATCAACAACAACGATAAAAATCTGTATAAAAATAACACTTCCTACAGTAATTTCACCCATCCCGACTATTTACAATATACGTCCTCTCAGGCAAATATAGGCTGGACAGGAGCTCAGCAAATCTCTATCTCGGCCAGGTCATACGGATGTCACTGATTTACTTTGGCTCTCCATAAAGGCTAACCCACTTGTGACACTCCACTGCAAGAGGGTGCTCCTACTGCACTCCCCAGGGTTTCGTTTAGAGAAGCCAAAATTCTGGCACTGCTGAGACTAAGAGCCACAGCAGGAGGAAGGAAGGTCACGTAGGGGCTCTTGAAGCACAGACATCCTTTTGCAGTTTGCAGCACACGCAATCCTGATCTTTAAAGTGCAGTCATTATTTTACCTGAAACAAAAGGGGTTTAATTACTGTCTCTATTCTGCTCCCACTATACTTGTTTTTTTTGTTTCCCATGCATGCAGGTCCCAGACAGTAGAAATGTCAGAGAAAAGAAACATCAGAATTGAAACAGGGGTTTGAGACGGGACTGAGAAGATCTGAAGTCAGTAGGCTCTTCGCTCCTGGGACAGCAGTTTTGTCTCCATTGTGACTGACAGTAAATAGCGCTGCTTACCTGTGCACAGTACTGGGACTTGGCTACAGCAACCAGGAGTTTCAGCACAGGCTGAGACTGGGAAACCAGGGGAGTTACTGCGTGGATAACGGCAGTGAATGTGGAAAGAGGCTTCAGACCTGAAGTGAAGAGATATGCGTTGAGTAAAGACAAAATTGCCCTGGTTAGTACAGATTAAAGGACTCTGGAGATGGAAAAATAATCTACACTTAATGCAAACCTTGCCCTGTTTTTTTAGGCCATCTCCTTTCGTCTCAGATACTAGGATACCAGATGCTTTAGAGGAGATCATGCTTCCCTTTAACTCCCACACCCTCTGAAATCCCTGACTGCAACACAATAACTGCCTTTTCTTACTCACTGTTTCCACAGATGTCCTGCAATCTCTTTCCTTCATCCAGTTTGTCCCACAGATAATATTGACATTTAGTTTGTTCAACCAAATGTCTTCCTTGACATGGGCTCTGTTTTGCTGCCTGGCTCTGGATGCTTGATGTTTTCTACAGATTATCTCCACAACTTCCAGAAGCTCGTTCAGTTTCCTCAGTTCCGTTACAGCCTCTGTCAGGTTTTTGCTCTTTCTGGGTCGATCCCCATCCACATGCAGCTTCAATTACATCCTGAGCTGATAATTCTGCTTGCATCCTTGCCTTCCATTCTGATATTTTTGTCTCACTATGATTTCCTTTTCTGCCTGAAATAACAGATCCTACTGGCGTCTACCCTTCATTACTGCTCTCAGTCTCATCTAAATTCATCTCTGTGGGGTCAAAGTCGTTTTTCATCAGAATTCCCACAGAAACCTTCTTCTCCCTTTTTAACATGGTAACTGTGAATTTTTAGCAGGTGAGCAGTACAGATCCACACAAGTGGGATGGCACAGGCTGAGCCAAAAGTAGCAGCAGTCTGGTAAGCAGGATCACTTCAGCCTGCAGGCACATTCCCCTGCAGAACTCATCATTTAAGCTCCGCTTCAGGAAAAAGCCATGAACCTAAGCCCTACGCATTCCTTCTAGTGGGATCCATATGAAGACACATAGTATGGAGAATAAATCCATACCAACTATGCACTCCAATAACAAGTGTCATGGGTAAATTACCGCTTTTCCAATTTGCCAAGCACAAATAAACAAAGAAAGCAAAAAGGTATCCCTCTTATGTCCCCTCAGGCCATGAATGGGTCAGCGACTCGGGCATTAATTACTGGCAACTGAAAAGTATGAAGGGATATAGATTTTTTTAAAACAATCTTTGCAAGCGAGAGGCATGTGATGCATGTTGATGAGTCAGAGACATTCCAGTCTACAGCGGGCAGGGAAGATCGAGACAGGATAAACGACAGGCATCATTAACTAGAAATGAATGGTAAGTCACTTGGCACATGCTACTCAAAGATCAAATTACAAATTTCCACTAGAAATTCCAAATACCACTAGATTATAGCAAGGATTCACTCACCGAGATTAGCATAGTAGTAAGGAAAATCTCCCAGATATGAGGAATACTGTGGCAGTACAAATAACCCTCCAGGATGTTTGTTCCATATTAAGCTGTTACGTGATATGTGCTTAAATATTCTGTCCTGAATAATCTGAAAAACAAGAGAGGTGATGATTTTTAAATAGACTGTAATAGTCACTGGTAGAAGCTTCATGGACTCCAGCTGACTGGCATCATCACCCATTTTGCAAAAAGCTGAGGCACACAAATTACTAGACATTC